AATTTCACTGAAAGCTCCATATATTTGCACTAGATGGTGAAGGCTATTCTAAGTCAAAGTGATCATCCCAGGACCGTGTGGCTTAGCCTTTAGTTTGGCTGGGTCAGAGTGCAACACAGAATGGAGCACCCGGACTCAGGCTAAACAAGTGCCTTGTGGCAGGAGGCTCATCAAGGGCTCAGAAACCAGTGACTGCTACTGTTAATATTCTACCCAAGCTGTTACTAGGGCTGACTAAGGAATGGTCCCAGTAGAGTGTTAGTAAGTCTTTGGCTATTGAAGACAATGACTATTATATTACTCAAGCCCTTGATATGAGCAGTCAAACTCTGTGTGTGGAAGCTAGAGGCTGATGTTGAATGTCTTCTTCAATGCTCTCTACCTTATTTTTGAAAGAGGATCACTCATTGACCCTGGAGCTCCCTAGGGCAGGACAGCAAGCTCCGGCAACCTGCCCATTTTTGCTTTACCAGGGCTGGAATTTCAGTCAGGTAGGTGTGCTGTCCTGCTTTATATGTGGGTCTTCTTACTTATGCAGCCAGATTTTTACTGGCCAAACCATTTTCCCACTCCCTCAAGTAATGTGTTTTAGGACGAAGCTTGTGATAGCTTACTCTCTGAATCTTCATGTGGCTCAGCGCATCAGCATCTGACACATGAGCGTTTAAAGGGTTTGCAGGATGCATGAAATAGTAATAAAAGAACTTCAGAACAAAGCGCCTCTCTCCAGAAGAACCGAAACTCTGCATTGATATTTGGCTTCATTACTTACCTAATTTACAGTCAATACAGCAAACTCCCACTTACGTTAACTATGACTCAAGAACTAATCTCTAGATAGAAGGAATTCGGGAGACTGCCATGTTCTTCTCAAAATTATTTTTACACAAACAACCTACTTTTAGAAAAGAAAGCCTCTGGTTCAATCTTTCCTTCTAAAAATATTATTTTGATCTTGATCCAGTTTTAAGTCTTCGATATATATTTGTATTAATTAAGTCACTTCAAAACCTCTTTATAAATAAATAAAACAAAGGAGTAAATCTTAAATTAAGCTTCTATTCATACTTATAAAATTTACAATGATGACATTGCATTTCCTATTCAAAACTAAATACAATAAATGCATTCAGAAATTCCAACTGGTGAGCAGTTAAGCTCCTTAAAGATTTGAGGTGATTATGGATCCGTATGGACTTAACATGTTAAGCTGATGTCTGAGGGTGAACTGGGCTCTCTTTGGGTCCACAGGCTGCAAACATCTAAAGGAAGCAGAAGTCCTCTGTTGTCAACCTTGAATGAAGGGGCAGTGCCTCTTTGCTTTCCCTTAATATCTTTGTCCAAAGAATTCTATGTGACAGAGATCTGTTTATCATTGATATTATTTCAACTACATGACAAAAAGTAGGAACCCCAAATTTTTGTGATATTAATAAACATAACCAGACAAGTGTGCTATTTTCAATAAAAAGTTGGATAATGGAAGAAAGAGGAGGCTGGGTGGCTCAGTGGGTAAAGTGCTTGTTGTGCAAGCATGAGGCCTGAGTGTGGATCTGAGTATCCATGTAAAAGCTAGGTATGGCTCCATGTCTACAATTCCAGTGCTGGAGGTAAGCAGAGGCAGATGGGTCCAGGGGCTTGTTAGCCAGTCAGTCAAATCAGCAAGTTCAGTGACAGAATGCATCTCAAAAAATACAATGGAGAGTGATATAGAGAGATACCCAACACTGATTTCTTTTTTTCTTTTCTTTTCTTTCTTTGGAGACAGGGTTTATCTGTGTAGCCCTGGCTGTCCTGGAACTCATGTAGACCAGGCTGACCTCAAACTCAGAGATCCACCTGTCTTGAGCCTCTTGAGTGCTGAGATTAAAGGTGTGCACTATCACTGCCTGGCCCAACATTGACTTCTTGTTTCCATTAATACATACATCAAGGAGTGCACCTGCACATGTATGTATACACTGTATATAACTTTCTTACTCACTCATATTTAAAAAACAAAATGCCAGTAGTTAGACTGGGCATGGTGACACACACCTGAATCCCAACAGTCAAGAGGCTACGGCAGGAGGACAAGGAGTTCCAAGTTATTCCACGCTATATGAGACCCTATCTTCAATTTCCAGCATTAGTTAAAAAACAAAAGAAAGGGAGAGTTCAAGGATATGCCCAATGTATAACAAACATAATATATATGTATAGGAAAATGATTACAAAGATAAACAAAAAACCCAAAACCAACTAGTAATAGTCTTAGAAGTCAAGTAAGTAAAAGCCAACACTCATTTTGCTCAATAGGCATCACTGATTTGCTAATGCCCCTGGAGAAGGACAAAGTAATCAGTTAAACCAGCACCTCATTAAACTCAGAGAGCAGTGTCCCCAAAAGCACATCCTCTAGCTATCTGGTCACTAATTGAGAGTGTTTTTTAAGAAGAATGCTATTTCCTATTTAGTCCCAACTCTGAAAATACCACACACAGAAGAAACACACCATCTGCTTCACCACCACTGGCTCTTCCCCACATACGGAAAAACTTGCAAACTGGGCAAGACAATGGATAGTTGGGTGTAGAATCAGTGGTGGAAAATAACGTGTGAGATAACATGTGTGCTTGCGCATAAAGAGATAACGTGTACTTGGGCACCAGAGAGTAATAACTCACCATTTGTAACCTGTAGCAGACACATTTTTTAAAAAATTTGTCTCATAAGAAACAGCAAGCCATCTGTTTCCAGACAGATCCCTTCACCCATCCACCTCACAGCCCGCAGACCCTGCACCGAAATCACCGACTGTCCTTCTATTCTCTTTACTTGATCTTCTTTTCCACATTAAGTTATGAACACCCCAAGTTTTTAAAGACTGTGTTTATTTTTATTTCATGTACATTGGTGTTTTGCCTGCATATGTTTCTATGAGGGTGTCAATACCCAGAGTTACAGATAGTTTTGAGCTGGGAATTGAACCTGGGCCCTCTGGAAGAATAGCCAGTGCTCTTAACCACTCAGCTATCTCTCCAGTCCCAATCTCCAAGGTTTGGTTCTTCAAAGATTAGTGAAGTCCAAGAATACACATTTACTGAATGTTTATAAAAAATAATGTCTCATGGAGAGAAACACAGAATCACTGGATTCTCTCAAAAGCAAAGTATATATTGTTTCTTCTTTTTACTTTTGTGGTGCTCGAGATTGAACCCAGGGCTTCAGGCATGCCAGGCAAATAAATGCTTGGGGCTAAAGATGGCAAATAAGGAAACTGAGTGACTGAGACCAAGTGCATGATAAGAGCAGAGAGAGAAAGCTATACCAAGGAGAGCTATGTCTCCAGGTAATTTGAAGCAGATCACCTAAAATTTGAAAATCTCAGTTTTGTGGCTTTTCTCCACATTTCAGATTCTTCCATAGTGGCCAGAACTAGTAGCAATAAGAGCCTTAAAAACCTGCTTGACCGGAGAATTAAGGTCAGTGCTTCCAACTACAAGCTTGAGTAGCTGCTACTAAAGGGTCCAATACTTATCTGAAAGCATCCCTACAGAAGCTGGCGTGTCTCAATGCTAAAGTGCTTGCCGCACATGCCTAAAGCCCTAGGTTCAATCTCCAGCACTGGATGAAAAAGTCTAAAAACATTTGGTAGTTTTTGCACAACTTCTTTCATAGTTACAGCTGGAATGACTCACACCTCATCCCACCAGACTTCTAGAGACCCTGGGGTAGAAACCACAACAACTTGGGCTGGAGTGCTGACACACTGCAAACTGTGTGTGCTGGGTTAGCCTGCCTTCGTGATTTTAGGTAAAACACTTTTTCCCTCTGAGCTTCAACTTTCTCAACTGCAAAATGAATATAACAATACATATTTTGTGGGGTGGCTATGAAATGCAAATAAGGTCAGGCGTGGTGGCACACGCCTTTAATTCAGCACTCAGGAGGCAGAGGCAGAGTTTGAGGCCAGCCTGGTCTCCAGAGTGAGTTCCAGGACAGCTAGGGCTTCACAGAGAAACCCTGTCTTGGCCCTCCCCATCCAAAGAAGAGTTACAAATAGTTACCCATGATACTTCTGGTGTGAGTTATGTGTGTACATGTGGCTGTGCATGTGCACATGCCTGTGTGTAGGCAAGAGGCATATGTTAGGTTCACTGATTTATTTATTAAAGTTCTGAGACAGGGTCTCATTATATAGCCCTGGCTAGCCTAGCACTAGCTATGTAGTCCAGGCTAGCCTCAAATTCAGAGATTCAAAAGCATCTGCCTCCTAAATGGTGGGATTTAAGATCTATGCCACCATCCCCAGCCTAATCCACCCGACTTTTTGAGGCAGGGTCCTCATCTTATCAAACCTAGAATTCATTGACTCAGAGTGGCTGGCCAAAGAGTCTCTGGGATTCATTTGTCTCTGTCCCTGCAATCCTCACAGTACTGGGTTACACAGATATACTTGGCTCCAAACTTAGGTCCTGAAGCACTTTAGTGACTGAGCTAGCTCTCCAGTTCCTATTTTATTTTATTTTTTTATCTTTATATGATAGTTATAACCTTGAATGAAGGGGAGAGTAGGTGAGAAAATATCACAGCCACCAACAGGAGGAAGGGATGGAAGTCTCCAGATCCTCCAAAGAGTTCTCAATAGGGGCAGTAACTGAAGGGGCATATTCTTAATATGGTAAACACACACACACACACACACACACACACACACACACACACACACACACACCTATTTATAATCTGCTCTTAAACATGTGGCTGCTATGATAACACCAGTGACTTGCCTAAGGTCACAAAGCCAATGAACGGCACTGCTGTGATCCGAAACTACACGTGGCTCTCCACGTCTACTATGTAGGCCCATACCCTGGGTGTAGTCCCACAACTTGGACTGCCTGCCTCAGCCTTCCTGCCTCTGAAGGAGACAGCAGGGGCAGCAAGGGTGGGCAAGCAGCCAGAGACAGTCTGAAGAGACTTGTCTCAGGGGGCCCTGGATGGAAGGAGATTCTTACCTGTCATTTCGGCTGATGGCTGCCACCATCAATGCTGTCCAGCCAAGTTTATGTCTTGCGTTGACATCTGCACCTTCTGACAACAGCCTGATAAGATACAGAAGAATATTTTCAGGGCTTGGCTTACCATGGACAGGAGTGGAAATAATCACAGAAAAATACCTAGGACATTTAGTTAGTGCAACGCCAGCCTGGAAAACATAGTGAGAGAACTATGTCAAAAATAACAGAAAAACACAAGTATGGATAGGCTGGATAGTTCTGGAGACAGAGTCCTTTGAGTTCTAATCCCCAATTCCAGCCTAAGATCATTACTCCCCTCACCAGAGTCGTCCCTTGCCCTTCTCATTCCCAGCTCCCTTCTGTCATCTTCTCAAGCCTTTTGAAAAGGAGTTTGCCTTCTCTATCTTAATAGTGATATGATGATATTCCTACTTCCTTGGGCCAAAAACCTCAGGCCCTCTGCCATGTCAAAAGTCTGAGTCCAGGTCATGTGATAAACACTTGGTAACCACACCCTCTCCCTTAACTTCCCTGTATTTAGCACAGCACAAGACCTAACAGGCTTATACAGGTAGTTACCTGTTCACAAAAAGATCACATTCCTCAACTGTATTTATTTTATCATGGCTGTTTGGAAAATACAAATCCTTCAACCCAAAGAAAGATGGAAAGAATTTCAGAAATGCTATGTTAGGTTCTCACTAGAACCCATGCACACCTAGGGATCTACATGCTAGGTGCCTAGCATATAGGAGTCCATCGACTGTCAAGTAAACCAACAAACCCAAGGTCTAAAGTACATCATTGTAAATCCGAATTCTGGGTCCTGGTCCCTATAACAGAGGGCAGACAGGGACAGATGAACAACGCCATGTTTTAACACCTTGTAGAGCCTGGCCTGCCCTCTTGGAACTTTTTGTTCCTGAGCAGATAATAAACTCTTATAATGGACAAGGAAACAGGAGGGAAAATGACTTGTAAAAGGTCACATGGCAGGTTGGTAATGTTGTGCCCAAATTCTGGACCCCAAAATCACCAAGAGGCCCATTTCGATGCAAAAGCAACGAATCTTTTATTGCAGTTGTTTAATGAGCTAACCCCATTAGCTTGGATCTTTCATCCACCCACCATGGCGGATGGCTGGGGAAAAGACCCCACGAGACAGGGATCTTATAGGGCAGTGTAAGGGGAGTGTCTAGGGTCACGCACAGGCTCAGGACTGGTGCGCCTCCAGGCTTGGACAACCTGCCCTGTGTTGATTGGTCAACTGGTTGTTATGGCCCATAGGCCCTCCCAAGGTGGTTGCTATGCTGTGCACTTGTTTGTAAAGCATACCCAGTAGCTAACTTCTGATTGGTTCCTTGCCACGAGGTGGACGTCTGACCAAGGCATCCCTAGCAAGGTCAGACAGGCAAGTGTTAGCCTGTCATGGCTGCCAAAACAGGTGTGTTTGTGTGGGGGTGGGGGTTGGTCCCTTCATTAATGGATTCTCCTCACCTCATCAGCCTACCTCCAGACAGTAACCCTCTTCATATAACACAAAAGGTGAAGACTAAACTGATTTCAGCCAACCAATGGAAAAGTCCTGTGCTAGACTCTAGATGTGAGCAAGACATGGGGTCTGCCCTATGAGGACCGAGGACCTAGGCAGGAAATCAAAGACTGTGGTCCCACTTAAGGAAGACAAAATCAAGAATTCAATTCAGTCAGGCATGGTGGCTCATGCCTATAATCCTCAGGCCTAGGCAGGAGGTTCTCCATGAGTTCAAGGCCAGCTGGACCACATAATGAGTTCCAGGCCAGCCTGGAATGTAGCAAGTCCTTCTTTAAAAACACACACATACAAACATGGTCCATCCACTAGGCAGATGCCCATATGAGCAAAGGGCAGAGGACTTTCTCCATTTGGTCCTGACCTTCTATCCTATCTGGACTGAAGCCTCCTTCAGAATCACAGTGAGGATCGATACTTCATCTACACTCTTAGCTTCAGAGCCAAATGTTTTGATGACACCACATGGTTTGCTCAAGAGGAGATCCCCCCCTCCTCCCACACAAATAATGTATAAGGGTTCTTAGCTGCTTTAATATCCATGGCCATAAAATGGAGACAACAGGGACAGGGGACCAGAATAATTCATCACACTCTTCTCTGCCCTCCCCCAGGAATAACCACACCCAGGTAGTCACCAAAAACAATGCTCAATGGACATCCTGTCCCATGTTTTCTGGGCCCTATGGGAATGGGGCCTCTGGGTCATAGGGCATACACGTATGTGATGTGAATAAACAGTGCCAGCATCTGGCAGGATAACAACTGCTCTGTGGACCTTTGTACCAGCAGGAGGGGTGTTCTGTGCACCCTCTTCTTGCAACACTTGGCAATATAGGCTTTGTTTTTGTTTGTTCTTTTTGAAACAAGTTTTACTATGTTGCTTTTACCAGCCTTGAACTTGCTAAGCAGCCCAGGCTGGCCTTGAGTCATGAACCTCCTATCTCAGCCTCCTGCATGCCGGGATTATAGGTCTAAGGAGTAAGCAGAATATATTGCTGTTTTTAACTTGTGATGATGAACAAATATATGGGGCTGTCTTTTCTGTGAAGATTTGTGGTTAGTTTTTAGGAGAAGACACTCTTGGTGTGTGTGTGTGTGTGTGTGTGTGTGTGTGTGTGTGTGTCCTTTTGACTTGCTATCATTTTAGTGAAACAATTTTAAGGCCAGGTCATTTCTGGAATATGCAGCAAGTTCAAGGCAAGCCTGAGATACATAGTAAAACATTGTCTCAAACAATAACAACAAAACAATACAGGGAAGAGCCAGAAGCCCCATGTCTAGTCTAGCTCTAATCTCTGCCACCTACTATCCTAAGCAGTCATAGCCTCTCACTGAGCTTCAGTGAGGTCAGTGAGGACCTACGGCAGAGAAGGGCTCTGCAAACCCCCTCAGCCACAGAAGGTAAACCGCAGTGAGACCAGCTCCCAAGCCCAACTCCCAACTGAGCATCATTCTTTGCATTCTTGAGTCAGGGTGTAGTGGAAGAGAGCAAGGGTCCTGGTGTCTAGATTCAGGCTCTGCATTCACCTGATGTGAAGGAGAGGATGCTGACCGCTCTCATGCAAGGTGGTTGTCAGGACTGAGAGACATGCCACACCGTGGGTTTCTGAGGTAGAGCCACAGATAACCTCACCAGCACCACAGCAAACCTAACCACAGACAACTTTCCCTCTTGGAGTACTGAGTCAGGGGTGGGGAGAGCACTGGTCTCCGCTGCTTCCCCCCAGTGCAGAGCAGCCCAAGTTAGGACTTTGTAAACTAGATCTTCCTATTTCATTTTGTTGCTTCACAAGTGAATGCCCAGCAGGCACTTATTTCAAAGTCCTGAGCCAGCTGGGGGTGGGGTGGGGTGATGACTGCCTGCTGAGAGTGGCTGAAAGGGCCTCTGAGGCCAGAGAAAGCCACCCTTGCTCTCCCCTGTGATTTTCACCAATGGACAAAATGCGGCAAGTGAATTAATCTCTTTTAAAAAGAGCAATGCTTGTGACAGAGCACGGTGTCTCCGTAAAGGTTAGGATTCCATCATCCCTGAGATGATGAGTAGAATGTGTAATGCTGGCTGCCAGTCAGGGCAGAGTAACCTGGGTTGTGCTGGGGAGGGGGTGGGCACAGCAGGTTCTCCTGGGCTCACTCTAGACCTGTGGCCAGCCCTACCTAATGAACCTAACTGGGTAGTAGCAGGTATCTGGAGTTGAATCCGAGCTCTTGCACAATTCCCAGGGTATATAAGGTAGAAGAGACTCAGTTCAGATACAGCTGCTGCCACTCACAGAGGAAGGGGCAACCGATAAATGTGTGATTTGGTTTCTCTGTTCCTTCCCCAAAATAGCTCCTGCTCTCTATCTTTATATGTCAGACAATGGACAGAATGCGGGTATGGTGGTGCATGTCTATGATCAGAAGGCTGAGGCAGGAGGAGTGCCATGAGTTCAAGGCTAGCCAGGGCTATATAACAGGATCTTGTCTCAAGGGGAAAAAAGGTCCCACCAGCTTTATTGCATGTCACACATAGGGGTGTCATCAAGAGATAATTTATGATGGCTAAAACACTTGGCATATAATAAAGCACTGTGCTTATGCTATTAACATCACTGCCCATTTTACATTAGTGATAGACGGAGGGGCAGGAAGAAATGGCTCAGTGGGTGAGGGTCCCTGCTTCCACACCTGATGTCCTAAGTAAATCAGGATGGCATAGGAAAACAGCAAGTACCCAAATGTATCTGTGGATGGAAAATAAACTTCCACAGGGTTTAAACTGCCACTGTAGGCAGTGGTGGCGCACGCCTTTAATTCCAGTACTTGGGAGGCAGAGACACACAATCTCTGAGTTTGAGGCCAGGCTGATCTACAGAGTGAGTTCAAGGACAGCTAGGGCTACACAGAGAGAAACCCTGTCTCAAAACCATCAAACAGCCTACAATTCCCAAGCAAGGGCAGTCAGTAGCTGAGCCTAAGAGCCATGAAGGAAAAAACAAAGTCTCCTCTAGTAACCAGGGATGTAGGAGAGGCCGCAGGCCAAAAACCAAGAGGTGACATGATCACTTCTGCTAGGGAGGGGGAGAGGAGGCAGGTCAACTTTCACTTTCTGCTTGGGACACTCCTTACAATTTCAAGTTCTACTGTTGTTTTCACAGTAGTGATCACAGTATTACTGTTTTTCCTTGACCAAATTAGTTTTCATCCTTTAAAGTTTTCTTAAAATGGTCTGTTGCCTCCAAGTCCCTTGTGCTAATCTACTGTTTTGTCTGACTTCCTCAGTCACCAGCATATTCCAGAAATGACCTGTCTTTACCCCCACCCCTCACATTCCTGCTCTGGCAGTTGGCACATGGGAGTTCTCTTTAGTACCTGCAAATACCAATCTGCCACCAATACTTCTGTCTTGTGGTGGAAGACTTGTGGTGTAAGTCCTTTTCAAAGTACTTAGGCTCCTATGCATAAATACATGAGAGGCATCTCAGACTCAGGAGCAGATGGGGACATTTGGGGACATGGCCTGGAGGTCTGATGGTCATGGTTCAAGTCA